TGGTGCTCCTCTCACGCTCCAGCTTTCTGAGCTTGCCCATTATTGAAGCAGCAAAGCTTGCACTCGCCGCCCAAGCGTCCTCGTTAGCGAGCATGTTCGCCACAAAATTCGTCGCCGAGGGAGGGGTTCCAGTAGTCGCCTCCCATCTCAGTCTTTCCGCTTCAAAACGAGGGCATTCGAAGGCTGCGTGGTTAGCATCTTCAATTACTCCTCGGCAGGCGGGACACTCCGCACTGGAGTCGTGCCCGAATCTCTGGAGGTAACTTCTAAAGCAACCATGGCCGCTTAGGAGTTGCGTTAGATGAAAATCAACCTGCCCGTGCGTTCTGTTTATCCACAGTGATACGTCGGGTATTAATAGGTGGGTCCATCTGCCTTTGGACGAGGCATTCCAACGCTCTTGCCACGCGCTGATAGTTGTTCGTCTAGCCACCGCCCGCGCGGATCTGCGAGGCTCTCCAGCTGCAATTTCGTGAAGTTTGCGGGCTTCTCTGATGAGGAGGTCAATAGGGGTCATCCCTGCGATCACTAACACGGCGTCATCCGAAATCGTCCGGAAGCCGCTGCAGACGCGGAGTGCGCTCAGCCGATACGTTGCTACGAGGTCCCTGACGTAACTTTTCCTGGTTACCGCGGCAGCCCATATTGGTGCCGCATATAACATTATCGACTTCGTTACGCTCATCAGAAGTAATCTTCGTCCTTGCTTGGGGCCACGCGTGTTGGCCATTATTCGCGACAGCGCCCGTGTTACCTCCGCAGCTTTCTTGTTTGTTTGCTCCAGATGTTCACGAAAGCATAGCCGTGTGTCCAACCTGACTCCAAGGTATGTAATGGAGCGCTTGGAAGGAACTAGTAGACCTCCGATGCGAATGTGCGCCTGTTCTACGGTTTTGCGACTGCTGATAAGCACAACCTCAGTTTTGCCAGCCGCCAGTTCGAGGCCAACCGTGGACAGCCAACTCATTATGGTTACGATGCATCGATTGCATGCATCCTCCACAGCCCTGATCTCTTTTGCAACGCCTACAATCGCTATGTCGTCTGCATAACCCACTAATTCCGTGCCAGGCGGTAACTGAAGGCAGAGAATTCCGTCGTACATGACGTTCCAAAGCAGCGGCCCTAAGACCGACCCTTGAGGAACTCCAGCGACGACATTAACGGTTTTGGTGCCTGATGAGGTATGATATCTAAGTAAGCGATTGCTAAGGTAACTTCTGATGGAGCGTACTAAGTGCGATGGTATCCCCTGAGCTGCAAGTGCGTTGAGGATGCATCCCCAATCTGCCGAGTTGAACGCGTTTTTGACGTCGAGGGTCACCACAAGGCAGTACTCCTTTGATCCACCTTTCCACCTGTTGCCTGATATCGCCTTAGATGCGATGTCCACCACTTTGCTGATTGCGTCAATCGTGGACCTCGATTTCCTGAACCCGAATTGGTTTGGAGATAGGCCGATGGCTGCCTCGAGTCTCACGCACAGCAGTCTCTCCAGCACCTTACCGATTGAGTCCAGGAGACAAATCGGCCTGTACGACGAGGGGTCTTCAGATGGCTTGCCAGGTTTTGGCAGCAGGACTAGGTTCTGCACCTTCCAGCAATCTGGGAATATTCCTTCACTGATGCACTTTCCAAAGAAAGCGGCGAACGTCTCGGGGTGCATGCACAATGCCAGCTTGAGGGCGCGGTTCGGTATTGCGTCTGGGCCCGGCGCTTTGTTGGGCTTCAGGCTGCGAGCGGCTAGTATAACTTCATCCGTCGTGACGTCGTCAATGGTGGGCGGTAGTGCTTCTGTGGTGTGTGGTATCAGCACTGGCGTCTCTGGTCTCGAGGGGAAAAGAGTTGCGACAATCCGAGCGAGGTTCTCGGCATCCAGGGGTGCACCGCGTCCGCCAGCATGAATGCGCTTTACTACCAGCTTATACGCCTTCCCCCAGGGATCCTGTTCTGCGGAGTCGCACAGCTCTAAAAAACATCTCTTCTTGCTTGCTGAGATAGCCTTTTTCAGCAGTCGCCTAGACTCCCGGTAGGTATCCTGCCTGAGCGAGAACAAGGGCGAACCACGTGCTCTCTGGGCCCCTCTCCTTGCACTGATGCATGAACTGCGTAATGCTGCGATGTCATTATTCCACCAGTAAACTGGGACGTGGTGGCGCCTGTACGTCGAGCGTCTAACCATGCTGGCGTCGCATGCAGCTCGAATTTGGGACGCGGCGTCTAGAGCCATGGTCTGCGGGTCCCCGGAGAGGCAAAAGCCGCTAAGGGCTCTCGCAAATGAAGCTGGGCAGAATGACTCCAGCTTGTATGCCACGTTGTCGGGCGGTGGATTCGTAGGGTTGCGAGATGTATCGCCGACTGTAACTATGATGGCCACGTGGTCGCTTGCCGTATAAGCGTCGCTTATAGTCCACTTGGTATGGCTGTGGAGGGAGCTGCTTGCGTACGTCAGGTCGATAATGGAACCGATACCTGCTCTGCTGAATGTGTGTCGCGACCCAGTATTCAGAAGCGTCAGATCCAGCCCTGAAAAAGCTTCAAGCACTATGCGACCTCGAGCTTTAGTGACGTTGCTGCCCCATTCAACTGCCCATGCGTTAAAGTCTCCGCCTATTATGACTCGACTGCGTCCCCTGGCGTCGTCTACTAAAGCGTCTAAAGCCGCAGCAAACTCCGACAGAGATAGACTGGGTGGAAGATAGCAGCTGTAGACCCACAGGTCTGCAACTTTAGCTCTCACAAAGAAGTTTCCAGCTTTTGGTTCTGAAAAGGTGAGCTCTCTAGAACCACAGAGCCAAAGAGCAGCCTTACCGGACAGATCCGCGGCCCATTTGTTGCTACTGCTGGTTTTGTATGGCTCACTTAGTATCGCCAGGCTGATGCTCTCCTCGTTGATTGTCTGCAGCAGCAGGTCCTGCGCTGCGATGCAATGGTTGAGGTTGAGCTGAAGGATCCTTAGCATCTTGTTTGTCTTACGGCCTCTTTGTATGCCGGACATTTGAAGCTGCCAGTGGCGTGGTCAGTCGATGGTAGACTCTTCTTTGCGCACAACAAGCATTTCGGACTGTTTGCGCAGCTTCTGGCTAGATGCCCCTTTTCACCGCACCTGTAACAGGCATCTTTAAGGTCCTCAACGCTGTTACACCTTGCTGCCATGTGACCGAAGCCGAGGCATTTGAAGCAACGTGTTGGTCGGATAACTCCTCGGATGCGGCAGATAACCCATCCTACCCGTACTTTCCCTGCTTCTATCAGCACTCTTGCCTTCTCCACAGGGAGCGATAGTAAAGCTATCTGCTGTCCGCCGTTCACCTTGCGTATTGACTTTATTGCATCTGAACCGATGTTAAAGTCCTCTCCAATTGACCTGAGCGCTTCCAGAATCTCCTCTTTCGTGACCAGCTCGTCCAGATCCCGGATCTCCAGCTGGGTCTCCTCCACTAGCGGCTTGACTACTGCCATGCCCTGTAATGCCGCCTCCACAGCTTCGTGCAGCCTCCCAATGTCATGGGACGGTGATCTGCTCATTTGTAAAAGCAGACTGCCGTTGCCCGTTCTTCTGATGCTCTGAATGTCGTTCTTTAATGGCTGCAAATCTGGTGCTGATTTTACTGCCTTTAATATATCAGCATACTGGGCTTCCCCTACACCTTTGGCTATGATAGCATCCGGTCTGCTGGGCTTTGTCCGAGCCTGGCGGTGGACCTTCGTCCAGGCATTGGCCTTGGGAGCGAGAGTGGAATCGGTAGGATTGCCATTTCCCTTCACTGCCTGTGCGAAGTCCTTCGGCAGGGAGGCGGGGGCCTGGTCACTCGTAGTTTGCGATGCGGTGGCAGGCTTCTGGTCCCGCATCTTGTGTTTTTTTGGCGGGGTAGCGCGCTGGGTGCTCCTGGGGTCTCTAAGCCTTTTCGGGGTGCCCGTTTGTGGTTGACTGGACACTTTAGGCCAGGGCTCTGCTGTTTGTACGCCGATTTCGCTGTAGGACGGCTTCACTCCAGTGCCTGACCAGTCGATCTTGCTGTATATCGAGCTATACAGCCTCAACATTTCTGCAAACAGCTCTTTGTCCTGCTGGTTGACGTGACGCTTATGTTGGCCTTCGAAAAGGCGGCAAACGGACTGCAAGTGGGTACCCAGCTCCTGCATCTCTGTCTGGGCGGCGGTTGGTTGGGCTGGAAGGCCGTTTGGCACCGTTCCTGCCGGCAGAGGCGAGGCCGGTATAGGCGTTGTGGGCAATGTCGTTGCCAGAGGCGTTGAAAATGGCGTGTTTGGCGTGTTTGCCGGCTCGGCTGAGTTTGCTACGCACAAAGATGCTGAAGGTGAGCATAGTAGTGGGAAGCTCTGAAGGGCCACTGACGGTGGAGCTGACTTTGGTGGTGATCTGGCCACCAAGGACCTACGCGCGAAAGGGTTCACGCCGGTTACCATTTCATTGGTTTTAAGCCACAGCTCGTCACCTAAGGTAGCCAGCGGAGGACCTTGCGAAAATGGGAGAGGCGCCTCCAAGTGGGACTTTGGTTGTGCTGTCCCGTTACCGCCCTGTGTGCTACGGTGTGATTCTTGCAATTGTTGCACCCCCGGTGGCTGGTCGGTGGGAGCCACCTTCTGCAGCCCATGCGGTTGTGCGTCTGTCATCGAGGCAGGTTCTTAGCGAGTTCCCTCGGTGGTCAGGAATTTCTTCTTGACAGGATGGGGGTTATCCCGCCCCTGCTCGGTCGCCAGAGCCCCAATCAGGTACGCCGCCGATGCGGTAGGGGTTGGAATATAGCCCGTCCGGCCTTTGTACAACTCGCCTTAAACTCAGCCCCAAAACTTCCAGCTCCTAAAAGGCTGCACCGAGATTTGGTGTATGAAATGCGAATTGCCGAGTGATCCTAAAAGTATGCAGCGCTAGTGCTGCAATTTCCTTTGCCGTGACCGCCCTCTGGTGACTAAGCCTGGCGTCCTTTTGTGGACCAGCTGGTCGGCTTACAGATGGCAAGGTGCAACTCTACGTCAGCTGGGCAGCAGCCAGCTGTTTAAAATGCAACTGTGCGGCTGCCAATATCGAATGGGCAAAACAGATGGGAAAAAGGAAAACGAAAACGTATACTCACGCCCGGCCTGCTTGACCAACGTAAGAAACGCGTCTGGAGGGGTCAAAGTCCAGGTCGAAGTTCAGTCACCGGCGCCCAAAGGCTCAACAGTGGAACAGGAGCAACACTTGTCCAACCTTGTGTCTGGGACGGTGGTGAGTACCTTTCGCACTCTGGAAACTACCGTGTTGTGTGTTAAAAACAATTTCTTACAGCCAACTTGCTACAATAAAAGGGTGGAAACTGACGATCGAACAAAAACACGTCCGCACGCTCACTTTCACTTTCACCTTTTCTATGTGTGTGTGTGTGTGTGTGTGTGTGTGTGTGTGTGAGACTTCAGAAATGTGTGACCACTAATGTGCCACGTGTCGGGGGTTTTGGTTGTGTAATTATGGCTAAGCCAAGGCACGAGGGTGGTATAAAACATTTGTGGCTGACCTAGAAATGTACAAGAAAATGCCAGCATTGCTGTTCCTGTTCTAAAAGTTGTTGTTGTTGTTAATGCAAGTCATTGAGTTGTTGAGCGTTTTTTCAAATACCTCTGAGGACAGCTGACAACTCTTCACAACCCTTGCCTGCCTTCCTTGCCTTATCTATCGCACAACCTACACCTTGACGAGCACAGCTCGACGCTGTCGGCCATTTTCACATTTCCACACAATTTCTTCACGTGCCAAAATGCTTCACACATACATATGTATATGGTATATATAGTACCACCCCCAGACGCTTACAATTAACTTAAATGACTGTAAAAGACCTTAGCACTGCGCCATTTCAAATCGAGCGACATTCAGAGCGAGACAGGGACACATTAAATTGTTTGTGGCTGTGGCGTAAATTGTGGTAAGTGGTTTTTCAAGGTGTCTACGTCGCCACACCCAATCCCAACAGCAACACAAAGAACAAGCCAAACAAAAAAGAGAGTTGTGCTGCTCAAATGCTGTCGCGCACCTTTTGACAGAAATTGAAAAATACACAGACAACAATTTAGTTGCAAAATGACGGACGTCGCATTGCATTACACATCAAAACTGTCGTTGAGTGCTGTTGGCGCCCCAAGCTATGCTACACTTTTTTCCCCTCTCTGTGTAAGCTGCGCGAAATGGAGGGAGGAATGGAATGGAGAAAAACTGCAAAAAAGCGTGGATAAGAAGTTCACATTGCAATATAAAAAACGTATTTATCATAAATTTTTAAAACGCTCAACGCAATAACATGATATTTGACTCTCAGAGACATCAAATTCAAAATTAATATACATTTGAATATACATATATTTTGAATTATATTTTAAAATAATGTCTAAGGAATAAATACGGTACTAAAATAATTTTAGACCCCCGCCTTGCTGTCTGTTCCTCTCTTAGTTCCTACTATAGATCTATTTATCATTTACAGTTTTTGGAGCTAATAAAACTAGGAACCTATACACCTAGAGCTCTTGTTGGCACTTTAAATTAATTTAAAGATTTTTTTCATACTACAAGTATACCATTTTTATTTGTTGCATCTACGATTCTTTTCATGACAGCTATGTCAAGACTCGCTAGAATATTCTTGTTCTTATTTCGCAGACCTTTATCCGTGCCCCCAAACTGTAAGAAACTTTATCAGGTTGTCGCAGCACGAGCATCATCGAGGATGTGATGCGCAAAAGTAAGTGTAAATCAGTCGTTGCGATTTATGTTTTGCAACTGCTCGATGCCTTCAGGTGCTATTTCCAGAAAATGGGGGGGCCGGCGCACCGGTCTACACTGACAGCTGTAAATCTTGGCAAAACAAGTTAGCACTTGTGCAGAAAAAAGGGCAGAGGCAGGGCCAGCTTACTCAGTTACTCACTCACCCGGACAGATAGACAGACAGGCCCTTCGGGCGCATCCTTTTGGGCCAAATGACAAACGAATAGATAGAATAGACAAGTCATATAGTCGAGAATGGATGGCTGAACGAATGGCCAAGTCATATACTCGTAGACGAAATCCGAGTGAGTTGTGAATTTGTATCAATTCGGTTGGTCCTTTTTTGCTGTTGTTGTTGTTGCTGCTTCTGCATCTTATTTGGTTGTGACAAGCTTTCAGGCAGCTGCCGGAAGTTTGGCTGAATTAAATATTTAAACTAGCAATCGCGCACACAAATTGAAGTTAAATTGAGTAAGCAGTCTGGGTTTGTGTAAGCAGCAGCGGGCACTAAAGCGTTTTGCAAAATTGTCAGAGGCAAACAGCACAAAAACTTGATCCTTTTCATAACGAATTTCGGCACAAAAACCTTTCAAGCCATTCAACAAAAAAATCAATAAATTTTTAAGCAGACAACTGAGAGCGGAGCGGATCTAAGCTGAGGCGAGCCGAGCTGATTTTCTTGACTTGGAAATCCTCCTTTTCTTTGCTGAGGTGCGCAAAATCGTATTTAATTTAAAACTCATAAATACGAAATGTGCTGATAATCATAATAAAATTTCAAAAGCCAACAGACTGGCAGACCGGCAGGCAGCAGTCAACGATGGCAATACATTTTCCTTTTACATATGGGCAGGCGAAATTGCAAATGAGATTTTGTGTCCCATGCCATGAAAATGAAATGAAATTACTTCTCTCTCCACTTCAGTTCGTACTTATGTTTTGGACTCAACTTTCGAACTCTTGCAGCAAAAACAATTTGTATAATTGTGGAGAAAGAGAGAACCTAAAATATATTCAAGTATTTTGCAACTCGCTTTTTATTTTTATACCCTGTACCCGTAGGGTAAAAAGGGTATATTAGGTTTGTGCAAAGTATGTAACATACAGAAGGAAGCATCTCCGACCCCATAAAGTATATATATTCTTGATCAGCATGACGAGAGAAATCGATCTAGACATGTCCGTCCGTCTGTCCGTCCGTCTGTCCGTCTGTCCGTCTGTCCGTCTGTCCGTCTGTCCGTCCGTCTGGATGAACGCGAGGATCTCAGAAACTATAAAAGCTAGAATAACCAAAGTTGGCATCCAGGTTCTCCTAGGTCCGAGTAAGGACGAGTTTATTTTATTTTTTGGAATTTTCCCCCCCTTCCCCCGCTACAGAATTTCGTCAATAGCGTCCACATTTCAAATGCTACATTTACCAAACTTTGCACACATAATTTATATATAATTGTCTACTGTTGTATAAAATTTTATTCAATTCGGTCAATTCTAAGAAAAGTTATTAGCAAAACAAATTCTCGCCAGTACAACCCCCACAAACTGCAGCAACAAGTTCGCTCGTCTTCTTCCTCTTTTTGCTGCTGCTATGGGCGCATATAACTCAGTGACGGAAGTTTACCTGGGTACAGGGTATTACACTGTCGGGCTTGCTCGACTGTAGCGTTCTCTCTTGTTTTTAAAACTGTGTCAATGACAGTCTCCGGAGTTTTCAGTTTGGAATGGCGGCGGCGCCGTCCATGTTTTTGACAATTTTCCAAACGGCACAAATAAATGAAAAATTATGGAAAATTATTGCGATTTGAAGTGCAATTGAGTGTCAAATGGTTTTGCAGTCGGACCCCCCCAAAAAACCCCCAAACCACAAACACTAAAAGTTGTCTGAATGAACAAACAATTTTCCCAAGTCCAGCCAAGCGCATTGAAGTGTGGCGAATGGCGCCAAAGTGGGGGTCCCCCATTGAAGCGGAGTCTCACAATTGTGACAACAATCATCCTTTGAAATAATTAAGAAAATATTAACATTTTCAGATACATGCGCACAATTAAAATCAAAGCGGGCGACAGCTTTAGCTCCTGGCTATGCTTGGCTTACCGTGCAGCTGACGAAGAAGAAGAAGAAGAAGAGGAGGACGACTTGCCAAAAGTTTCAAGTGCCTGAGCTCAGAGGAAAACTTCCTGGAGCGACGCCGACAGTGCCTGTTGACATTTACGAGACATTTCGTTTGAATTGAAAATTGAAATTGCATAGCAATGGCAGCCAAAAATGAGCAAAAGCAGAGACGACTCAAGTGGCAGCAAAGTGTAAATGGTGTCGCCTCCCAAACTAATTGTTGAAGCAATGAGAGAGAAAACTAGATGAAGGCCAGAATGAAATGAAATGCATTAAGCAGAACTGAACAGAACAGACAACACGTAATTGTTGTACAACTTGTCAGCCAAACCACTTGAGACTACTTCTACTTATTTCTATGTATGTATGTATGTATGTATGTGCGAGTGTTTGTGTGTGTGCCTCTGCGCTTGGGTAGTTTAATAAGTAATTGTGTTTATAGACAAGAGGCACGAACGGATGTGGCACTTTTAATTGTTCGCAAACTTTTTAATCTAAATAAGCTCTGCTATTCATAAAACATTAATTTTTTACACTGGAATCTAAAGTTGACGCACTTAGACACACAATAGAATAAACATCAACTAACAACACAACTGTTATCGATTTTCCGACTAGTCAGGTTTTAATTGATCAAATAATATATTTATTTGAGGAACTGAACTGAACCAATGAACCAAATATCCATATAACTAAATGATAAGACATGTTGTATTCCTAGCTTATTGACTTTCTATAAGTACTTTTTATTGGCGAATGAAAATTTTGAAGATTTCTATACATCTAGTGAATATACGAGTATATATAGTATACCGCCATTGAGGGCACAAATTATGTGTTTAATCTTAGTATAATTGCATAAAGATTATTGTATGAATAACTTATTTCACATCTGTTTAGCCCACTTATAGATTGCTCTCTTAAGCTGGGGTTCGCACTTGTTAGCGCACCTGCAAAGCATGTTTGTAAACCTGGCCAGATGATAAGCTCATAGTGGAAGAAAAGCTTTCGTAGTAAGCAGAAGACAGGATTAGAGCTAGAATACGATCTTACAATAAATAAAACAGCCTGGTTGTACACATTATTCATGACTTGCAAAAGTGCTTTGCGTATAATTATCAGCTTCCCTGGCCCGTAAGTAGGAGTGCTATTCCTTTTGCCTTTTAAACGACGACCTAGACAAAAAGCAAGAAAACGTACATACGAGAGAGAGAGAGACGACGATCAACCAAGCCAAGTCGTGCATTTTTGATTTGATGTCAAACCACTTTAAACGATGTAAACCAAGTAAATTCTTATCAATCACACCTTTTCCATTTAATAATCAATGTATTGTGTCAAATAAAACCCCACATATATAGTACATCATGTTTAACTGGACATTGCAGGTACAAGTATACCCTAATAAATAAATAAATTACTTATTATGCAGTTCCTCATGATCATTATAGATAAAAACACAGAGAAAAACAGATATAAGCATGGCTCTTTGCATTATTCACTTAATTTTGGTGAATCCTTGCATAGTTTATTTGCCAACTCAAGTAATTGTTTTCCAACCACAGTAATTTATCAGACCGCCCTTAAATGGATGCGAGGCTTGCATGAGCTTCATCTTAGAGAGTGCAGTTATAATCCCTTAAACTAAATTATCACGCGTGATTTATGCACAAAAGGAAACTTTAAAGATGCCGCGACGTGTCGGCAAACAACTTGACGCCCAAACGATGGAAAAGCACACACTCTTCTACCCCTCAACTCCTCATCTTCATCCTCCTCATGCTGCTGCTGCCTTATCCTTGGCTGGTTTGAAGATGCGGCAAACAAACTGGCAGTGCACATAAATTTCTTTCATTTACGCATATTTTAATGCAGGCAAATGTCTAATTGAAGGCAAGGCCATGGACTGGTGTTGGGGAACGTGAATGGCTTTGAACTGCACGCTCAAGTGTTGGCAAACATTTTGTAGAATTTAATTTAATGTTGTAGCTTCTTGACAGGCGGCGAACAAGTTTCTCAGCAAGCTGCTCGCATGCATAGTAATTATCTTCATAATCAGCTTTATGTACAGGCAGTGCCTTGAAATGGTCCCTAGGGCACTCGCTAATGGCGCACGGCGCCGGAAGAGTTTTTTCCTCTTCTGCTGTGAAGCTTTCCATTGAGTCCGCCCAGAGCGCCAAGTTCAGAGTGCACTTGGCCCTACAAAAGGGCAGCAGGTGGAGGCAGCGAGACAGCCAGTTGGAGTTTTTGTAAATATGAAGTTTGATAAGTAGGGAGAGATAGAGAGGGAGAGACAGAGAGTACGTACGTATGTACAGACAAACATATAACAAGTGGCTGGTTGGTCTGCCGAAAAACGAAAACGCCAAGTTGCCACTTGACTTGCTTTGCTTGCCAAACAAACATTGCAGTGGCGTCGCCAGAGTTGCCCTCATCCTTGCTATCGTCGAAGCTGGAAGTTTAGCGTCAGACAGCGGCGGTGTTGGCATAGACGTCGTCGTCGAAAAGTTTGGCTGCAATTTTGTCCACCAAATTATGAGG